TACGGATAAAATTAAAGTAATCTGCTTACTTATTCTACTTAAGAATAAAAAAGCCGCACTTAGACTATTAAAAGCATAATAGGATCTTAAAACACTTTTTACGCTCTATTATAGATACTAGGACTTCTATAAGAAGTAATATAAAGACCCCTCTAAATTAACGCCTAATTTCAAGGCAAATAAACTCTAGCAAGTATTCTAAATGCTATTAGGGTCTAGCGAGTGTCTATAGGACTAGAACTAGCAGCTACTATATTTAGGAGCTACTTCTAAAATTATAGACAAGTTCTATATAGCTGTTTATTACGCTTTACTCCGGATTCCCTTATCCGATTTCATAAAGTGAGCGCTAGGATATAATACTCTCTTTATTAAATCTTTATTTAGAGCTGTATATAAGGTGCGTAATAACCTTTAAAAAGTACTTCGGGATTATCTAGAGATAAGGCATATCTATATTAAAGTTAAAAAGGTAAATTAGCAGTCCTTTATTAAGAGTAAGTACTAATAGAAATAGATTCTAAAATCGCGATACCTTAAGCTAGCCCACTAGATTATTGCTAGCAGTTTATCTAACTCCTAATACCTGCTATAAGTTGTATTAGCCTTAATGTAAGACCTACTCTAGAATTTATTTATAATATACAACTTGAATCATATACTTAAATGCCTTCTAACTATTAACTAGCGCTTGAAATATATAAACTAGAAGTATAATTAGAATAAGTGATCGGCGGATCTTAACCTCTAGGACTATACTTATAAGACATTATAGTTGGAAACTCTAAGAAATCCGTCTGTGAATCTTAATTTATTACTAGATAATCTAAATAAGAGAATATTCTTTTTAATAAGGCTTAATATAGTATCTAAGGATAAATTACATAGTTTAAGAGGTAAAATATATTCCTTTTTAAAGGAGCTCTATAAAATACCATATTAGAGCGTAATTAGATAGTAGTTATAAGCAGTTTAATATTAAAAAGGGCTTGCTACTATATGCCGGGATAGATGGAATTAGTCTTGAAACTTAATAGCTGGTGATCTGGGCTATTTAGGGGTTTAAGTTAAGAGACTAGGCCTTGTTATAGGTTAGTTATAGTGCTAATAGGATACTTAATCAGTCTAGGAACTGCTCTAAATTGTCTTATAGGCGTTTAGTATAGAGGCTAATACTTCTAGTTCTATTCTTATTTCTAAGATATGCAGCTTGACTTTTCGGATATATAGTTTATTATATATCTTAGTCTAGGGATTATAATAGACTCCTTATTCTTATATACTCCTATTGCCTAAGAATTATTAGTTATTAATAAGGGATCCTCCTATTGCCTTATAAGAAATATAGTCTCTTAATGTCTTAAACCACTACCTTTATATAACTATGATATCCGCCCTCTCTTATAAAGTCTATATCGAACTATTACTATCTCTCTATTTCCTTAGTGCTATTATAAGTAATAACCTTGATATCTTCTAAAATAAGCCCCTTTACTATTAACACTAGATATTAGTCTATTAGGCTTCTTGCTCTTAAACTATAGATAGATATATTAATAATAATATTTACAAAGATGCCACTCTGCATATATAGTCTACTAATATAATAAGGTTGCAGTTAATCCGGCTTTGCCTGGAATTTCTATTTAACTACTATATTCTAATTAGGGACTTCTTATATAGTATTATATAGCTGTTATATGATAGGTCTATATCTATTAGTTCTTAATTCTAGTTTATGCTAGATATCTTACTAGATATGAATATCTTTATTTTGTTTTAAGATCTCCGGCTAAATATAGACTTGGTCAAGAAGATACCTCTTAGAAGAGTATGCGCTTAAGCTTTATCTTCTTAGAATAATTAAGTGATATAGTAAATGTATTTCGATGGTTATTTTATTTTATTATTAGTATAAGGATAAGATAATTATAGTAGAAGATATATATTTGCTTTGTGCTATAATAAGGCGTTTGCTTTTAGACTTGATATTAGAGAGTATTAAGAAATACTAAGGTTGCGAGTTATAGTTATGTGATATAGAGTAAAATGATATTCTATTGCCTAATTATAAGGCTAGGTATGTATAGAAATCGGTATTATAATAATAGCGACTTTTAAGAACTTTCCTTTAAACTAGGACTCTTAATAAAGTTAATATTATTAAATAGATTAAAAGGATATATAGGGAAATAAATACTATAAAAAGTGGTATTAAATTCGTATAAGAAGTGCATTTCGCCTTAATATTAAGCTCGGCTTTTATATAACTCCAATCTAATCTAAGGTTACTATTAATTAAGCAGCATATGCCGCGTATAATAATTCATCTCTGCTTATATATTACCTACTAATATATAAGTATAAAGTTAGCCTTCTCTGCACTATCCTATTACTACGCCTGTCTCTTATCTTATATTTCCTTAATACTAATATCTGCCTATATCTAAAAGCATTTATTTCTAACCTCTAAGCTCTATTTAGGAAGATTTATACGTATATATACTATATTTACCTTTCTTTAAACCGTGCTAACTATTCTCTAGAGGCTAATGCTATTATTTCTTAATTCTAATATATATACTTAAGATGTTAGAAAATGGTCTAATTATAGCTGCATAGTTAATATTAGCAGTATTAAAGATTGTAGCAAAAAAGGAACAGCTAATTATAAGGGTATTATAGAGAATCCGATTATATATTAGTTAAGTTAGTGTAGTAACTATAAACCTTAGGATAGGGAGGGAGCTGGAATATTATATAGGTAGAAATAAGTTATATTAGGACTATATATCTACTAAATTGTTCTAAATTAGAGCTAATATCAAATCTATATTTAGTATAGACCTAGCCTAGAAAAAATAATAGAACTATACTCCCTAATCGTTCTATAAAGCTTAGGTTGATTAAAGTGATCCGGCTATTCTTAGCTATGATATTACTAGGACCTACGTCTCTATAGCTAAAGCCTGTATAATAGAACTGATTAAGCGCTTGCTTAATATTATCAGCTCGCGAACTTAACTTATATGCTTTAAGTTTAGAGAGCTTTTCTATTTAATAGCTGCAAGTGATTCTATTATCTAAGATGAGCTGCTGGTTAAATTTAATAATAGGCAGTCCGACCTTTATTAAGTTATTAAGTATATCAAGTTTACGTTGAATAAGCTTTATAGATAGCTCGTCCAAGTAGGTAAGCTTAAGAATAGGAAATCGACCATGCTTAGTGATTTAAATAGATATGTGAGAACTATAATTAATTATTATTAAGTCTCTCTAGATTGCAGCTAATTTGGAACTCTAATATACTAAAGAAATATTAATATTCTTATTAAGAAAAGGAAACCTTTTAAGATTAGAGTACTTAGGCGCACTTAACTAAGTGATTAAAAACGGTTAGTAATTATAATTAATAATGTATTAGTATAAGCTAGGAACACCTCCGCTTTCAGGTGGTGTTATTAGCTTGGCTTTATAGGCCTGGAAGGTCTAAGGGCATTATATATATAAGCTTATTAAGGTTTATAGATATATGAGTCAGGATATCGTCTGCTGGTTGCTAGTGCGCAATTTGATTCTCTAGAGGCGCCTTTCTAATACTAGTTTAGTTAATAGTTTAGTTAAGTATAAGATAATCTATATTTTAGGCTCTCTGCACTTAAGTGTAAGCTATATCTACTATATAAGTAGAACTTCTAAGCTTAAATATAGAGACTTTTATTAGATAATTAACTTATGCTAGAAGGTACTATATATATAGCAACTAAACCGCGGCGGCAGATCTGGTTAATATTAGATATTATAAATTAGTAGCTTAACTGACTTTATTATTGCAAATAGCAATTACTAAAAGGAGGGAAGAAAGGAAGCTGTGCTAGGTACTATGTATTAGAGGTAGTTATTTCTAATATAAGTTATAACGCTGTAATAAATAGAAGGCGAATTTTTATGTCTGAGGCTCTAGATTCTATAAGAAGCAAATTAGCTAAAGCGTATTTATAGCTTTATAGTTAGTTTCTCTAACTCTTATTACTATATTTCTCAAGGAAAATATTAAGAGCTCTTATATCTTATCTAATCGGCCCTATTAGTAAAGCTTTTATCGCATTTTATGAATATATAGCTATAAGTGAAGGATTTTTTCTATTTCGCGCTGGCTGTTTATATAATAAAACTATTAAGACTTGAGACGCTAGAAAGTTTAAAATTATATAGATCTCTAATTTTAATAACTAAATATATTTAGAAAAAGTAAAAAGTAGAAAAGCAATCTACTTTATCTAATATATAAACCTTGGTTCTTGGAGCGTAATGCTATGTATGGTTTATATATGGTTTTTAAAATGCTGCAAGTGCTTAAGAATAAGCCCCTAAGACTTGCAAATTAGGTAATAGCATTCTATACTAGCCTCTAGATCTTATCCTTTAAAGTAATTACATTTAACGTGATTTATTATTTTTATAGGGCGATAAAAAGAGCCTATTCTATCTTTATAGCTCTTTAATTTATCTCTAATATAGAATAGACACTAAGTCTTACTATAAATAAGAGGGAAGATATAGGAGAATGGATTAGCTTTAGATAACTCTTCCTTAGTGAAAATTCTTAGTAGAGAGGTGATGCGGCGGCGGTATTATAGAGCCACCTTATAATAACTATAAAGAGCTTATATAAGATTAGCAGTCTAGATCTAGCGCTGGATAGCATCCTATAAGGTAATATCCGTGATACGAGTATAGATAAGCTTAACTAGCTATATCTTTTAGGGGATCTAATACTTAACTATTAGCTTAATATACTCCTTCTCCCTCTATCTGCTATTCTGCCTCTTAATATCTTTAGTTAGGCGGCGGCGAAAATAATCTGCTTGGTATTCTTTAGAGATAATATTTTAATGCTTGCTCCTAGCACTACTAATTGTAGTAGTAAGTCGCTAAACTTCTGCCTTAATATCTATCCCCTGAACTCTATATGCCCCTGCTTTTAATTCTTCTTACTGCTACTTAAGTGTAGTAATATCTGGATCTAAGAAGAGCGCAGCTAGGACGTTATTAGATATATAAACCGGAGCGCGGGGATCGCATATAAGGCTTATATGCGTAAGCATATAAAGGACGCTATTAGTAGAGGGACGTTTAAGAATAGCAGACTAGATGTTGAACTGCACCTGCTTATTAATATAGGACCTATTATATATAGCCGAGTTCGGATTATATCGTATAACCTGGTCCTAAATGGCATTAGTAGTAGTACCTAGATATAAATGTTTATATTAGTAATGTTATCTCTTTTTTGACTTATAATTAATAACTTATAATTAATAATATTTGCTATCCCACGTTGGAAATAATAGCTGGTTAGTGTTTCTTTAAAGCCCGCCGCATATATAAGGCGATTAAGGCAGTCCTGAAATTAAGAATATAAGAGGGCCATCTCTAGTAAAGGGATTGCCTTATTTATAATATGCTTATCTTAGCGGAAGATAGGCGTCTTAAGCTTCTTCTGCTTCCAGCGTAATAGCATATATAAGACTAGACCTTATACTTTATACTTAAAGACTCGCTTAGAGGTTATTAGGCTTAGCGCCTTAAAAGCGTTATTAGCTAAGGCGAGGGATATAAGATGTATAATAGAATAAAAAATTAGGTCGTCTACTTTAGTAAAGAAGAATATTATACTATAAATATCTATTAGCTTAATATTAGAAAGCATATTAGAAGTGGTTAGTTAACTTATAGCTTTAGGTGTCTCTTATATCCTTTATAATAAGCTATTATAACCTCTATAGTAAGCATATCCTATTCTCTACTATCTGGATTATATATAACTAGGAGGCGCATATTCTTATAGTAGATTGCATTAAACTATCTAATATCTTCTCTAAATCTACTTATAGTAATATTGCTTTTAAAAGCATTATTCTTATAGCTACTAATATCCTTACTATTTCTAGCGCTGAAACTGTTATTACTTTTATTAATAATAGGAGAGTTATTATTATTAATAGCTTTAAGATTATTATTATTAAGATTATTATTATTAAAACTAGTATCTTTTCTTTTCTTTTTTGTATTAACTAATTCTGCAGGCTAATATCCTATGCTAAATAGAAGAAGCAGAAGTAATGTGAACTATATATAGTGCCGCTCTATAGAGAAGATAGAAGTATTCTAAGCCTAGTAGTAGTTAAGTAAAAGTAGAAAGTTATCTATACCTAGAATAGGCTTTGACTTAACTATATTATCTAGCTTAAACGTATTAATATACTATAGATATTAGTAACCTTAAATGAAGCAAGTAGTAATAATTAGAGAGCGATATATCTTTAGAGCTTCTTTCTTATTATTTATATCTATATAGTAGCTATTCTTTTGATTATATAATATCTTAAACTATATTATATATTATTATATTACACCCTATTTATTCACCTGGTCTTTATTGTAAATATACTAAAAGAATGCTAGTATAGTCCCCTTAGAGCAGTCCTGGATTATAGAATGCTATTTCTTCTTAAGTTAGTTATTATAGAACCTAGTTAAGTAAGTATAATTAGCTATATAAACTTAATTAAAAGATATATTCCCTTATCTTATAAACTTGCTTTTAATACCTAAAAGATTATCCTTAGTAGCATCTATATACCTATATTTAATAGTAGTCTTTACTTTATTATGCTGCTTAATAAGATTCTAGTAATATTTAGGCAAGTGATTAATCTTCTATTTAGGCTAACAGCGCTTAATATAACTATAAAGATGTTAAAGGTCCTATGAAAAGGCTTCTATAGTATATTATCTCAGGTTTATAATAATGGAGGTTTTGCTCTAACTTTATATAAATTAACCTTAATAAGAGTATCGCTGTAAGGAGAGATGCGTATTAAGAAGAGATGCGTGTTAAAAAGGGATGCATATTAAGAAGAGATGCATGTCAAGGGATGCGTATTAAGGAGGGGATAGGAAGATAATAAGGAAAATGTTATAGAGGAGACTAGGAGATGCTTAGAATATATATGCAGGTAAGTGAGAAGTAAGCGAGTAGTATAAAGGCCCTCTTATTTTAGAGGGAGGGGGCATCTAAAGGCTAAAATAAAATTCGTCTAAATCTTAAATGTCTAGAGCTTAATTAACTAATAGAGCGCATGCATTATAGCATGTAATGATTTCTTAGGGTTTAAGGCTGTATAAAACAGCAACTAAGCCAGCTGAAAACAGCAACTCCAATACTATAACTTCGCGTATTATTATAATAACTACTATTTAAATATAAATCCTAAAATATTACTCTTATAATATTAAAAGCTGCTTTAACTACTTATATATTAATAGTAGTAAGTTCTAGTTATTAGATAAATTTAATAAACTTAATATATAATAATAGTTTAGTTATTTTATCTATAAAGTTATTTTTTAACTTTATATAATATAGATCTATAATATTATATTTAATTGCCTCTCTAATCTAGTAATAGTAAACGTCTATATGCTTTAATTCTAAGTGATTTTTAAGATTCTCTAATAGAGAAAGTGCTTTAGTGTTATTAATATAAAGCTTAACACTTTATATATCTAGTAATATATATCTAAGCTATAAAAGCATCTTTTAAATCTAGACGGACTATTATTTAGCTTTTTTTATTATATAGTATTTAGCTTCTATTATAGAAGTTATAATTAAAAATTATCTCTTAAATAACTAATAGATAATACTATTAGTAAATACTATAATATATCTTAATATAAATTATTAAGTA